TCCTTGGCTTATGGCCACATCACTCCAATTTCTGCCTCCCCTGTCACATTGCCTCCTCCTCAGCGTGCCTCTCCCCTGTGTGTCCCTTCTTAAGACACTTGTCACTGGATTTAGGGTCCATTTGGAGAATCAGGGTGATCGCATCTCGAGATCCTCGCCTTTACTGCATCTGCAAAGAGCCTTTTCCCAAATAAGGTCGGTTCTGGGGATTGGACAGTGGACACATCTCCTGCAGGGCCACCCCTCAGCCCACTCCGTGAAGCGCAAGTGTTTTGACATAGGAATGAGGAAGTGAGGAGGATGGGACGGTTTATTCTTCTCAGGCATGAAGTGCACACAAGAGCGGGCTTTGAAAGGCACACCGACACCCAGCATCGTTTCTCAGCGTCACGGGAAGTCTGGTCCGCGCCGGCCAGGGTTGGGTCACGTTGGCCACTCCGGGAGTGGACGTGGGTTTGCGTGGTAAACAAGCGTGTCAGATGCACTCGGGGAGCAGAAGGAAAGACAGCAGGAAGGCAAGAAGGTCTTGAGCTGTTCGAAAGTGAACACGGCAGTGCCGGTAACGTGCGCCACAAAGGGCCGGCCCCGCACTGCACTGAAACAGGCCGGCTTTCCTCATCGGATTGTCGTGGCTGTGACTATGTATTTATATGGGCATCATCTGCCTGTTATTAATGAGGAGGACGATAGATAAACTAAGGGGAGAGACTCTCCTGCCGGGATACAAATCAAAGAACGGAGCCGAATCCGTCAGTCATCCAATGGGGCCGGGGGACAGCAACCCGCCTTTATGAGCTCTCCGGGCTCCGCGGCGACGCCATGGCCATGGCCGCGCTTGTTCGTGCCCATTCCTCTTCTCTATGACCATCAGGATGGCACTGATCCGGGTTTGCAAACGAGGTTTTCTTGATGTTATCATGTCAGCACCTGGATTCCAGGCGGCTGCCTCCCAGACCTGGCCCTCCCCGGTGTCATGGCAGGCCCCCTCCCCCACCCAACCGCCCCCAGGGGCCCTGGGATTTGCTAATGAGCCGGGAAGCCATAAACAGAAATGAAAGTGTTTGCAACCGCTGCTGTGGGCTGGCCCTTGGGATCCCTTCCCATCATTAAACTGGGGTTCTCCTTCTGCTGCGGAGTTCAAAGAGAAGGCGTGTCCTCACGATGGCATTCACTATTCCTTCACCCCCATTCACTTGTTCATTTACGTATTCATTCATTCATTCATTCATTCATTCCTTCAGCCGTTGAGTGTCTGCTAAGAGCCAGGTTCCAGCTCTGTGCTGGGCCCACAGAGGGGGGAGAGGAAAGCAGGCTCGGGGTCACCCGGACCCAGCTCCTCGCCGTGACCTTGGGAAATTCCTTTCATCCTTCTCGGTCTCCTCATCTGTGAAATGAGGAGACAGATACAACTGTGGCTGAGCCCCAAGAGCTGCAGAGACCACTCGGAAATTGTGGGTCTGCTTTTCCTGGCTCAGGGATTCTCAGATAGAGGGCGCTGACCCAGAGAGATTCTGAGAAGGCCCATCCCTCCCCGCCTCTCCCCGCCTCCACCCTGCTGGGATTGCTGCTTAGTCCCTCCAGAACAGTCTGTGGCCCTGATAGGGTCACCGGGTTTTGCGAACAAAAGGATAGTTTGCCCAAATTAAATTTGACTTCAGAGAACAATTTTCCCCCTAGATGAGTATGGGCCACATAACATTGGGGTATTCTTATACTAAAGAATGCGCCAGTCCCGTCTTTCACACGGCAGCGCTGGCCCCGGGGTGTGCTGGGAAGTCCTGCAGTTGCAGAGTTTCTGGTCCCTCACGCAGCCACCACCGCCCACGTTACGGATACCCACCCCCAGACCCTGAGCGGCCGCAGCCAACGCGGACAGCGCGGCGGTGGCCTGGGCGGAGCGGGCCTGACTCCTGCTCTGATGGGCGGAACGGCAGAGGGTAGCGTGTTTAACCCCCAGGACTAAACATTCACCAGAGGAAGGGGCTCTGAGCTCAGAGAGGACAGTGAGGGCTCCCGGGCGCTGGCCCTCCCGCCTCGCTCAGCCCCCGTTTCCATCTTTTAAAAAAAATACCAGTAAAGCATGGGGAGGGCGGGCGGCCAAGGAAGAGGACGGAGCCGTTCCTGTCATTCTCGCCTTCAAACCAGGCCCTGGTGCCAGCTCCCTGAGCTTCTGTTGCCCGGGCTCCGACCCGCAGAGGACCCATCTGCCCCTTTAAGGGCACAGAGCTGCCCTGGGCCCCCTCTCTCATGCCGGGCACGCTGAGCGAGTGGCATCCCGGTGGAGGGACTCCGGCAGCTGCGGGAGCTGTGCCGCTTCCCGCCGGGGCGGAAATTGCAGTTCTCCGACGGCTCTCATTCTCTCATTAGCCCCGGGACTCCTTCTGGTCGCGGCTCACTGGCTCCTCCGCCTCCTGGTCTACCAGCTGCCCTGGAAGGTGGTGTCGGTCGGGAGGGCAAGGGGACACGCATGCCCTTGACCGGTGGGTCCTCCTCAGGGGCTTCTTCAGGGCCTCCCCGAGCCAGGACTGGTGGTGGCTTGACCCCCGAGCTCCGGCCAGGCACTTGGGAGCTGACCTGTGGTCCCCACTCGTGGTCATGGCCCCTGGAGCCACTTGGCTGCCAGGCCCACGGGTCGTGCAGAGCGGAGCAGCGACCTCAGGCCTCGCTCTTTGGCTCCTGGGCCAGGATGCTCCGGAGTTTAGGGCTTTGGATAGTGTGGAGCCCCGTGCTGCTGCCCACACTTTGGTCCCACCCTCGGTCTCCGCATCTTCTTCATCCTACACGCAGTCCTGGAGTCACGATGGTCACCATCACAGCCAGTGCACCTGGCACCTCCCAGGGACACGCGTGCAGGGATGTAAAGGACATGTGAGGTGAGGGCGCAGTCCCAGGCTCCTCCAGGAACCAGCCAGACGCACCTGTCCAGCCCGGGCCCCGGCGTCCACCTGTGGCCGACACCCTCCCATGGGCCCAGGCCAGGAGGTGGTGGCAGTCGCCACCCTCAGACTTTCTGGAAGGGCAGGCGAGGCATGCCAGCCCTGAAGGCCCCCCACCAGGGTGTAAGGTTGGGGTGTGAGTGGTCCCCACGCCATCCCACCCCTCCTGACAGTGTCATCTGCTCGGCAGGGTAATGGGCTGGAGGTCGGTGTCTCCAGGAAAAATCCAGGAAGGACCCTGGGAACCCCCAGGTGGCGGCCCTGCCTGAGGGCGCCTTGTGTGCTCATTTTTAAAAATAGGTTTTTATTGAGCTCAGAGAGGTAGGGAGAGGAAGAGAGAGACAGAAACATCAGTGATGAGAGAGAACCATTGACAGCTGCCTCCTGCACACCCCCTACTGGGGACCCAGCCTGCAACCCAGCCTGTGCCCTGACCGGGAACCGAACCATGACCTCCTGGTTCATAGGTCGACACTTAACCACTGAGCCACGCCGGCCGGGCAGTGTGCTTATCTTTATATGGGAGCCAGGGCCCTGGGTGGGAAGAGGGCTTGTGTGGCCAGGGTGCAGGGCACCGGGTGGGAGGCGCGCTGGACTCCCCTTGGAGGTGCGTGGCCGTCTCGCAGTGAAGGGACCCAGGCCAGCCCCGCCGCGCCCCGCAGTGCCAGGAGCACAGGCCTTGGGGTCCAACCAACGTAGAAGCTCCCAGCATGAGGACGAGCATCCTTGAGGCCTCGGTTTCCCTATGTGGAAACGGCAAACTGCCTCGCACTCCCAGGGCGGCTGGGAGGGTGGAGCACCCTGTGGGCGAGGCTTCTAGCTGGTGCCTGGGTGCCTGGCTGTGGTGAGTTCTCAG